ACAAAAGTTTTGCAAAAATTTCTCTGTTATCTGCTCTACTATTAATGTCATGTAGGCATTCTAAATTTGAGTCATAAGAGTAATAGCACAGAGAGAAAAAATCATTGTTTTCCTTTTCTTGGGATGTAGGAGTGTTTTTTCTTAACCTTTGTTTTTGTGTTTTTTCTTAACCTTTGGGTTTTGCTGGAGTGATCTTGCTTCTCAACTTTACTATATGTGTCTTTCTTTTTAAAATTATGGACATAAAATTGCATGCAGGAAAAGCCCATCTTTGGAAACATGGGCTTAAGTTAAAAACTGGTTATATGGAAAATAAAAAGCCAACTGAGTAGTAGTTTACCATCATCAGCCACAGAACTCACTTCCTTTTTTTGTAGTAGAATACATCAATATTATTCTAAGAAAATAATATTAAACTTGTTTTCAATTCTAATGTTTCAGCATGTTCTGAAATAATACTTGTCTGGTTCCTTTCTGATAGCTTAAATACCTCCATTTGGTGTGAGTAGGATATCAGGAAATGCCTACTTATATGGACTTTGTTATTTTTACAATAAGTATTATCAGCTGCCTGACATAGTGAATTGGCTTAGGCATAAGGCAGTGGAGGTGTGGGTGTACAATTTTTCTTCTCAAGCTGCAGTGTTTTGAGTCTTTGTAGCATGAGGTAATAGCTGAGAGAGATGTAGTTCTTTTCTCCAAGAACTACAATAATTGTGAACTGTATACTTTTTTAATTCACTCTTGGAATCTTGGTTAGGGATGAAGAAAGCAATGAACTGAAAGGTTACAGAAGTCTAAGGAGACAAACCAATATTTATCATCTCATTGAAAGCACTGTTCAGCATATTTGTGACTTAGACTTGTGTCTGGTGTGTTCTTTTAGCCAGAACAGCAAAGGATCTCCAAGGAAAATAATGAGGTTGCTTTGCAGGTGTGTATAAGGCATGGTGGACAACACTGAAGAAACCATAAAACCACCTATTAGTGTTAGGCACATGGAGAGTAGAAACAGGGGTAAAGGGCCAATTTCACGTAAATTTCTTGATAGAGAGTGAAAAGTGATAAGAAAGAAGATTGAAAGTGAAAACAAATAAATTGTGCTTATCAGGACTGACACAGAAGTGCAGCTGAGTAAAGGCTACAGGCATGAAGGGTGACTTTTGTTGTGACAGTGGCATGAGTGAAAAAGGCACACCAGTGAAAAAGTTGGAAAACATTTTTTGCAAGTTGGCAAACTGAGAGCATTAGCTGCACTACTTTATGGAAAAAACACCTTTCTTTCTTTTACATATGGTACAGGAAAAATAGAAGTAGATCTGAGACAGAAGACTGAGAAAATGTGTCAAAGATGCCTATCCTGCAGCTCAGGGTGATTGGGTACCTGTGTGATCTGATGAATGAAATCTAGGGAATCATTGGAGAAACGTGGCTAAGAACTGTGTTACAGCCTTGTAGAACTTGAGTTGACAGCCAGGCATTCATAAGAGTCAATTGCAGATTGCCAACATTTCAGTTTCCTTAGCAGGAGATCAGGTGTAGATAGATAAAACTGTCATCTGTGTGAGTGATGCCTATTGAAATTTTTGTAGGTAACATTATTCAACTGTAGAAAGAGGTGAGATAATAAGCAAGGAAAATGTTCTTGTAGGTTTATCCCTGTTTCTGTCTCCTTGAGAAACTGCAGAGATGATGAAATGTGTCCTTTAAATAATACCTGAAGTATGGTTTGAAGAGAGAATGGATGAAGGGGAGAGACCATGTAAGAGGAATGTGTGCAAGTATTAGACAGGGATCTGTTGGACAGAGAAGGTTCAGTTGTGACACTGATTCCAAGTCCTAGCAGGAGCTCATCTGTCAGCTGGGAAGTGAGAGGACAGTAGTTTGGAAGCCAGCTTGGGAGGTTTGCTGGAGCTTATTTGGTGTGAAAAAGACCTGAAATGTCCCAATCAAGTGATGGGATACACTAGAGTTTGCATGAAGGTTAAAAACCGAAAAACTGAGTGAAAATAAATGAGAATTTGTGAAAGTTGGATTCAAGCCATTGGTTTGGTAGCAGGAGCCATAGAGGCGAGTTACAGGTAATACCCATGTGTGTGGTGAGAAGGAAGAAGTGTAAGGTTTGGAGCTTGATGTTTATTGTAGAAAAAAGACATGATTTAGAATCCCTGAGGTGATTTGCTTGTGAGTGTTAGGTTGATCCTGTTGTGTGACATTGTATTCGCATATTAAAAACTGAATTGAGAGATGATCAAAGAAATGCTACAATGGTTATGGTCACAATTTTACAAGATAGGTTTTATTCAGCTGCTCCTATTTAGAAATCAATTTAAAATGAGAAATCAAAGACTTTATCAGTTCTTTTGTGTCCTAATCTTTGGTGAAGAATGCTTTTTTTCCTGCAACTGGTTTACTTCAGTAGGTTATACTTGGGTATTTCACATGTATTTCACTTGCATTCTTCAGCAGCAAATTTCCAGACTCCTTCAATGCTTATTTGTATTTTATCACATGCAGTACCTCTGATTCTTACCCATTCCCACCACAAACAGGGACAGTTATGACATTGACTTGAAATTGTAATTAATATTGCAATATATATATAATTAACACTGTAATAATGTTCAATATTTAAAGTCTTGCTGTGTATGTTTCAGGGTATTTGTTTTGCAGCACAGTGTTTCAGTTCCTTTAATATTACTCAACCTGTTGAAAACAAATCCTTACTTAACAAATCCTTACAGGTTTCTTTGAGGAGTGTTACACCAGTTGTTGGCTGCAGCACCTTGCTTCCTCATTAGTGAGATACCTTTCCCTGGGCTGAAACTGTGCCACCCAGCTTGGCAGAGGACAATCCTGGTGCCCTCTGAGCTGAGGAGTCAAGTGGTGTGATTGAGGTACAGCCAGCTTTGTCCTGGCATTGCCAAGGGAACTGTGAGTTCATGTAGTGCTTGAGATTGGAATTTATGGACAAGTGACTGAGGTAAATAGGATAACTCAATCTACAAGGCTTTTCTTTCTCTTTCAGTTTGTCTGCAGAAGCAGATATATAATCTTAAAGACATAAAACAAGTTTTCTGGGCTAGTGTTACTTTTACAGCAATAAGGAAATCAAAACCTGGAAACCATGTAGAGTCATATGATGTTAAGACGTTCTCTATATCCTTTCATACCAAGAAAACAGATCTTCCACACATGATTGAGGCAGTAAAGCCAGGGTCACCTGGTATTCTCAAAAAATTTCAGAAGTTTGGGTTTTGTTCTGAAACTGCTATCAAGTGCTATGAGGAAACTGGAATACTGGCACTAATAACTTTGTTAAACTGGTGTTATTTAATTTAAGTTACTTAATTTCCTTACACGTTCTTTAAATTTAACTGTAGAAGGAAAAGGAGGAAAAAATGTGTTTTCTATTTCCCCTGTGGCTAAAAGAACTTTGGGGTTTAAATGGTGGTAAGGAAAACTTTAGCTAGGCTTTAAGAAACTTCCTCTTGCAACAGGAATCCTGGATTTCTGGGCTGGATGGCTTAGGGAAGTGGTGGAATTTCCATCATGAAAGGCTTTTCAGAACAGGTTAGACAAGCATCTCTGCAGAATAATGCAGGTATAGTTTATCCTGCCTGAGGCCAAGAGACTGCATTAGGTGACCTCTTAAGGTTTCTTCTAAGCCTCTTGGTTTATGTCCATGTGTGTGACTCTTTCTTCTTAAATACGAGGTCAGATTCCACTAATAGATTCAACATCAGTCACTTGTTACATGACCACAGTCACTGAGTATTGAGACTGTCTGACTCTTCTGTTGGGGGAACAATAAAGTTTTGAGCTGTTTACAGTAGTTGGTTACAGGCACATTCATTATTATCTGTTGGCTACATCCAGTAGCTTCCTCCAGCTTGTATTACAGCTTTTACCGTGGCTTCCTTTATGCTGCTGTTGGAAAAACTCGGGGGTGAATTCTGGTATATTTTCAGTTCTGGTTGACTGCTTCTTGTGTTGAAGTGTAGGTACTTGAAAACTTCAGGACACAGCATGCAAACTTGGCAGGCTGAGGGAGAGTAGGAACCTGGACTGAAATAGCCTGGAGGACTGACAAGACTGAGAGCTTGAAGCCTGGGCTTTCTTGGAATTTGTCCTGTGTCTATTTCTAAAGTAGACAGACTGCTCTTACTCAGTATCTGTGTTATTAATGTCAGTCTCCAGTCTGGCTGATGCATGTGTCCCACAGATAAAAGTATTATGAATGTTTTTAGGAGCTGCTTATGCAAATTGGAACACAACTTTTATTTACCTGGAGAGTGCTCATTTAATGAAGAGCTGTTATTAGGTTCAGTGTGTGACGCCACATTTTATTTATGGGAAAGATCTGGCAGAACTTTCATTGCAGGTAAAGTTACTAACTTCATCGTGTTCTTTAGGGACACTTACTATTAGGGTATTTTTTGCCTTCCAAAACATTTCTTTTCTCTTTTCCATCCACTATTTACAGAATAGTGTTGTCACTACAGATGGGAATTAAGGTACAGAGAGAATGTATAAAATGATTCATTTAATTTTAAGCAGGAGCCTATGGTAAGGTGTCTTTCAGAGTATTTAGTGCATTTTAGGAATACTTGTATTTGAGTACATCCTGAAGCTTCTGGTTACTTTGCCAAAGTGTGAATTTATTCTCAACATTTAAATGCTATGATTTCAAGCATAACACAGCTGAAACTTGTTCCTTTCTTCCCAGCCTTGCTTTCAGACAGAACTAAAGCATTTCAACTCAAGCTTTTATAAAAAAAAAATTGTCAATTCAATGTACTGTCAAAAAAAATAAACACAGAGGACTAAATCTTTGTCAAAGTTACAGGAAACTGAAAACAACTTTGCAATGTAGTTACCAATACTAGGCATACATTTTCATTTACAGAGGGGGTAAAAAAAATTACCCATAATCTTTTTTATATCTCTCCTTTTTTTTTTTTTTAATAATCTGCTGCTTTTCTTTTTATTTCTTTCAGATGATATTAACTGTGTTTCTGAGCAACAATGAACAGATTCTGACAGAAGTTCCAATTACACCAGAAACAACCTGTCGCGATGTAGTGGAGTTCTGCAAAGAGCCTGGAGAAGGGAGCTGCCATCTGGCTGAAGTGTGGCGTGGAAATGGTGAGTGAAATGTTCACTGCAAATGGAGTTTAAGATGTGCATCACTTATAAAAAAAGAGTGACTTCTCAATACTAGTTATTTCAATGACATATTGTACTTTTTTTTTTTCTTCTAGTCTAGTAGACTTTGATGCAAAGGATGGTAATTCAAATAACTGTAGAGATTAATGTAATTCTTGAGTCTTCTCTGTTTTCTTCCTCAGCATGAGGCATTTGATAAAATGCATGTGTAAGCCCTGTTAGTGTTCTGTGTTTGTTTTTCTAATAGGATGGAGGGTGTTTAAATGACAGTAGGGAATGTCATGATGATGTTTTTTCAGTCAGTGGGTGCAGATCACCACCTGCATTCTTTCCAGTCCTATTTCCTCATTGCTACCATGTGAACACTAGCTGAAATTTAAGAAAGGGTGTAGGTTATTTTTTCCCTCTGTATCATGAATAGCAGATGTTCTGCAGACAGTGTTATGGCCAAATGGGACATAGTATCTCTTACCTGTTCATGAACATTTCCTCTCAAAGATTTGCCAGCCTCTCTTGCAGCAGGTAGTAGTGTCCATATCCTATTTGAGATGTAATTATTGTTTCACAGAATGATTAGGCAAGCAGTTCTTTTCAGGAATGTATCAAAATCCATGCCAGTATATTCTGTTTTTGAATGAATTCTTGTAGTTGCATGTTGTACAAACCTCCAGGTTGTTTATCAGTGTATGGATGGAAGCAGAATTGGTGGATGGGATAACAGACATGTTCATAGAATCACAGAATAGGACCATGGGAGGGTTGGCATTGGGAGGGACCTTACAGATCCTTTAGTTCCAATCCCCCATTCTTATCTCTTAGTTATTAAAGTGACCCCTATTTAATGTAATTTGTTCTGTATAAAGGCTGATGAGGTCATAACTTGATACTGAATTCTTCAATTTTGTATAGAGGTGTTTTATTTTGACTGGGGCCTGTTTTGCCAGACAGACACAACAGGCATTATTCAGGTACCTCTGGAACTTTTACCTATAGGCAGTCCATAATATTTTCCTCCTAGGAAAACTATGCCTCATCTTTTTCTAAACTGTTCTAAGACTTTGTAAAAGGAAAAGGTACCTGAAGTCATTTCCTACCTGACTGGAAACTCGGGGTTTCGGCAAGAGTGAACAGGGGAAAGGTTAAGAATTGTATGCCTGCAATTGTAGGAATACAAATTCAGTACACACTCAGTTAGAAGACTTCTCTTTAAGGAAAGAACTTGAAGAATGGTTAAAACTTCTTCAGATTGGAAATTTAGGTTATGGAGTCTATGATGCCAAGTGCATCACAGATTTCTAAAATGGATCTGCAGACTTCAACTACACTCAGATATTCCTAATATTTTCCAATCCCTTGTCAGTGAAAGTGTCATATTTTATTGTTTATTCTTTTGCTTTCACAATACTTTGAAGGTGTACTTCTTTTAAAATGTAGGAAAGAGTGTTGTCAACTAGCTTTAAAGGGTGACTGAAAACTGGAAAAGTGATCCACAGCATCTTCCTGGAACACTTAAAACTTGCAAAATTTGGACCTTTGAAGCACAGGTTTTCTATGATAAATTTAAGAATGTGAAAATATTTTATCTGTGGGGGTAATACTTTATTTCTCAAAGTGCTAGATATTGAAAGCTACAAGCTTCTATAAAGTGGGAAATAGTGTTCATCCATGGAGTTCCAATAGAGGGACTAAGATTAAATTTTCTGTGTCTGCCCTGAAAATTATCTTTCTTTGATCCCAATAAAGTCAGTGGAGATCTGGATATTGCTGTGAATGGAATAAGATGTCTGATTTTAGCTGGTTGTCTTCTGTTAATTCTGTTAAATTTCTGTTAATCTCACCCGGTTTTCTGAAGGGAATATCTGCATACAGACACTTAGGTGAAGGAGCAGAGGCCTGCCCAGAGCTTCTATCTATTATTAGCTCTGAGCTTCTGGTAAAACTCACATGAAGGTGCTTTCACAAAGGTAGCTTTACTTTCTAAATTCCCTAGGTGATAACTGTATAAATGTATTCCACTGAAGTTGTAGAACAGAAAATACCGAAGAGAATAAATGAAAAAAATAAAACACTCACTTATGTTTCTGGGTCTTTGACCTGTAGTGTCAGCAAAAATGATATCCTGCACATTGGTTTTAAGGCTCTCTGATGGGACTTTCAGCACAAATGTTTATTTCATTGTTCTTAAATGTAGGATGCTGTTAGAAAATCTGTGACCTCAGCTTCCTGACCCAAAGTCTACAGTGCATAGATTTCTCAGTGGAACAACCTGGGCATATATATGATAATTTTTCCTACTGCTTCTTCTGAGAGCTAAATTGAACTCTTTCCACTGAAATATTTTAAAGAATTTTGCCTGGAGCGGAGATCTGATTTAGAAAACAAGAGTCTGAACAGTTAAATGCGACAGTTACAACAACCAACTTTAAACTATGGTTCTGAGTGGGAAGTGTGAGGCAATTTGCAGTAAAACTGCTCCATGTTGTGCCAGTGGAAAAGCATATTTTATCTCTTTTATTACACTGTCTCTGATCTCTCACCCTTATCCTCAAAAGATCTGCAAGTGTTATTTCAGAGGACATTTTGGAAAGTAAAATTCAAAACAAAAGTTAATACAGCAAATCATGGGCTGAAAATACACGTTAGATTTAGTCACACACTAAGTGGTTTGTTTTTCTGGCACTCTCTCCCTGTGGCACCAATGACAAATTACAACTCCCTCCATAAGAGAGTCTGCCTGGCCTCTTGGGAACATGCTCAACTCCTCTGCTCTCCAGGTAGCCACAGCTTCTTTTAGGCAGCCCAGCTGAATAATGCATTCTATTCAGTCTATTCAAATTCAAACATTGGCGCTTGTGGACTGTAATCTTATCATCAGGTACAAATAACAGTTTGCATGCCCAAAAGCCTTTCTAAGCTGTATTGCTCTAGCAAAATGCTGTCTATTTCAATAGTCTTCCTGTTTTGAATGTGTATGTACAAGTAGATGATAAACACTTGATTTTATTTTTAGAGGATGAGAGACCAATTTTCTTCCAGAAAAATGTTACTAAATCCAAAAATTACGTAAGATTTCTACACTGCAGAGGAAGATTATAATAGTTTAGCTGTTGGAAAACATATTGGTTTATTTATTATTGTAGCTTTCATTTCTTTGCTTTTGTGTGACAAAGAAATGGTTGAGGGCTTCATAAGAGTTGCAAAATAGTTTAGATGTTGTTTGCATTAGAGTTAAGAAACTGATTCTTCTCGGAGCTGCATGGCCTAAGCATTTCATTTATTCACATTTGATTTTGGTGTTTCATTTTCTGTTCCCTCTCCTTTCCAGTTTCTTGACATGAGTAATAGATGAAAAATTCAATAGGGTTTTTGCCTGATATATCAGGCTTTGTCAGTTTGGAGCTTACTCTTTTTGCAAGGATTTCTCATGCTGTAACAGGAGACAAACCCAGAATGTTCTTCCTCATTCCCCTGTTATTGCAAATAGCAGCCAGTAAGGAGGGTCAAAGAAAGGTGTGAGGCAAGGAACTTGTAGTATGTTTCAAGAGAGAATTGATTACAACCTTTAAATCCACCCAGTACTTAATTTTTCAGTTCATTTACACCTGGAATGCCCTTCAGCAACTGGTCATAACATTCCTCAGTGTGGTGGTAACATAGGAGCCAAGAGAGTGGGAAAGAAATAATTTCTTACTCTGAGTATACTTCTGCAAACCTGAGAAAGGAAAAACTCATTCTAGATATCACAACTTCCCTGTGGAGAAAATCCATTTTATTTTATTCTGGTTTCATGTAGAGGAGGCATAACCATGTTTATTTCACATAGCAGGATCCTTGAAATCGGGATAAAAACAGATTTTGAGGACTGAAACATACTTTTAAGTAGTGGATTTGTAGCTCCACTAGAAGAATTTTGCAACTCTTTTCTGAAACATTGGTGCAGTATCTGTGTTTCAGATTTACAGGGTGTTTTGTTCTGGAATACTTAAAACTAGCCCATCCTCAAAACTTTTACTAAAAAGGAAAGGAGTATAGCTCATTTCTCAAAAATATTTCAGAATCTTGATCCAACTTAAAATCGAAGGCAGTTTTTTCAGGTAAGGATGGATATATGCATTTATCATAGTTTTCTGACTTGTTATTCATGAAAACAAGTGTTCTCTAGATAATTTTTATGTATTGCTGAAGTATAGGAATCCAGTCTTTTTTTTATTACTCTACACTCATTTTCCTATTTAATGTTTTCTTCACACTCTCAGAATGCTCTCTTCTATTTAGTTGTTTTTTTAATTCTGATAAAGGTTGAAATAGTTTTGAGAAACCAGTTACTGACAAATATTTCTGAAGCTATAACAACCAGGGAAAATTTAACTGTAGTGTTTCTCTTTGTTTTGATTTGATTTTGGTTCTTAAAGAACAGGGATTTTCAGAAAATATCTCTTGTATTATTATACTACAAATATAAAATCATGCTTTCTTCTCACACTTCTTATGGATTTAAAGGATTGAAACTGTAGGAAAGAATGGGGATTTCAATTCTTACCATGTCTTGTGTCAAGTGTTAATGTCCATTTCTTCTTCCTCTTCATTTCCTGGATTTGTTTAGTGTAGCCAGGTTGCACAGAATGATTAGTGCTGCTCCATCTTTTAATTGTTTCAGTGATGATGATGATGCTGTTACTACTTTAACCTGTTTTCTGTCTACTTCAGGATAATATCCCAAACTGGTTCTGTGAAATTAGGAGAAAACATCTTTGCCATTTCTTTCCATTGTCACTGTTTGAAATATATTAGTCTTAATTATTGGAGGTGCATTATGTAAATGACACCTCTTACTTTGACTGGCTCCTGGGATTAGGCCTTGATTTTATTGAGACCAGCTCAACCAGGAGTGAAGCTGCAGCTACTCCTCACCATTCCATAATTAGTCCAGCCCTGTTACACCTGGGTTTGTCGAGCAATTTTTCTGTTTGGGAGAAATTCCTAAAGATTCATATCTTGTGTTCTAAAGTCTCTGAACTAAACCACTTAAATATTTTTACATTCAGTGATCTTTAGAAGACTCATGCTGCAATTTTAGTGGATATGCTTCAAAGCACTTGAAAGCTTACTTTACTTTAGGAGTTGAAAAACCTGAAAATCATGCTTTTAAAATTCCTTTTCAAGAACTGAGCAGTAATAAGCTACTGACCTTATTCCTGTGTGCTTAAACATTATTGACAATGTTTCTACTACACCACTTAAGTGAGGCACAAGAGGAAGTGAAGCAAATAATCCATTTTTTAAATGTAGTTGTTGGTTTGGTTTGGGGGGGGCAAGTTTTTTTTTATGATAAATAATCAGTCACCTGATGAATATGATTAGCTTGTGGTTTGAATGACCCTTCCCCACTGAAAGCAGCTAGATCTAACTGTGGCTAAATTGTGTTAATCACATACCTACTTGGCATGACATATTTTGACAAAAGTTTATTGTATTAAATGCGTTGTAAAACTATTGATTAAATTGTATTGGTTTTTAACAATTAAGTATTTTAAGAGTATCAAGATGTGTACATCTATGTAGTTCATAATGTATATAAATTTAGGTACATTTCATTACATAAAGGTATATTTGTGAATTGGTTTTCCCAAGCCTTTCCCAAGATTGTTCTTATATTTTTGAATCATTTTGTCTTCTCATGTCAAATGAGTAAAGTGCAATGGATAAGAGAGGCACTTTTCCCAGTGGGAGATAGCGTGCTTTGGGTTTTGGAGGCCAAAAGTATTTTGCTTTTAACAACAAAGTGTAGTATATAAAACAATAAAATTTTATTCTGGTTAGAAGACATATTTTGGTACCTTAGCTAGTACTAGATCTTAAAATGGGGATTTTATTATCTTAATAAAAACAACTGGTAATAAATGCAAGTGTAATTATGGAAGCAGTGAAAAACTTGTCTTCTTAAATGTATTTTCATTTTGAAATACTAAATATAAAGTGTGCAGTCTCTTACTAACAATATGTATGATTAATTTAGAAGAAATAATTACTGTATGCAAATGTTTTCTTGGGGAGAAGCAAAGAGACTGAGTGTTGCATAGAACTTAGTCTTTATTTGTTCAAAGAGTCACCAGTAATTCCACATATACTGGAAGTTAGTGTCTGGCAGAGTGTGTTAGAGTGGGAGTACCTGCTCAAGTACTTAGGAGATGAAATGTCAATATAATGATAAGGCTTTTTGTCTGTGTGGAAACCCAGAGGTGCAAATTGAATTAATCATTTTAATAATAGAACAAATGGCCCATTTGCTGTTGATGGGGAGCAAAGTTGCTATCTCCTAAATTAGGGTTCCTAAACACTGGTATGGATTTGCAAGCTGGCTCTGTAGTCCTGTGGAGCAGCGAGCTGTGCTACAGTAACAGGCCAGCTTTAAATACCATACATCCAGTGGGTGCCTGTTTCTTAGACTTCATGTGAGACTAAATGCATCAGGTAGGTTGAACTGCTACCAAAAAGGACATTCTGACTATAAGTAACAGTTCTGTGTAACCCTTCTTGGTTTTAAGGAGTTGTGATGATGATGATTTTTTGGTTTTGTCCTTGTAGAGCGCCCCATACCATTTGACCACATGATGTATGACCACCTGCAGAAGTGGGGGTCACGCAGGGAAGAGGTGAAGTTTTTTCTTCGTCATGAAGAGTCACCAGCTGAAAGCAATGAACAGAGTAAGTACATTTATCCTGTGGTGTTGTGACTGAAACAGATTTTAAAAGACTTCTGAAGTGAGTTTGGTTTTCAGTTCGTTCAGTGAACCTCAGTGGTTATATGTAATACAACTTCCTTGTACCAAAGCCATTTTAAACCTTCCTCAGGGGCACCTTTATTCTTGTTCTTGTGCACCAGTTCTCCTCTTTAGAATAATTTTTACCAGTCTGTTGAGTAATAGCAAGATCTGTTTGTATTCTGCTTAATTTGGATGCAAAAGGTTGGTGGATATTAGAGACTTGATGTTGTTTTTTCTTAATGAAAGTCCCTACATTTTGAGAGGGTAGAATGATTCTTTTTTCTTCTTTCAGTTGCACAAAGAAAGACTTGGTAAAGTCCTTTGCCTCCTTTAAAAACTCAGATCTGTTTTACAGACATCACTGGCAGAGGTTTCAGTGCCTTTGCTTTCTTTCAGTGCTTCATGTAGGTATATTTAATAGTTGGGAAAATTTGCATTTTAAAGTTGCTGGTCTGCTTGGTTCTATAGGAGAAGTGTTTATATGAAGCAGTGCCCTATCAAGTGGAGTTTCTTAAAAGACTGGAAGTAAAAAATAGAAGTGTTTTAGCTTTTGGAACTTACTGGGGTAGACTGTACTCAATCTATGAGAAGAGTTTTGAGACTGTAGACTTAATGGCTGTCAGACTGTCTGAAGGACAGGAAAGGTGTCTCAGTGAAGTGTGTTTGCATGCCTAGATTATCCTGACTCATTCAACTAATCTGACTGCTTTTAACAACAGGATTTCAAGTCTTTGCTGAGTCCTTATTGCTTTCAACTGAGGCTGCTTCTCTTATTTTTAAGTGGTTCCTGCTTGTTTTGAATGCAGAAGTCGCAGACCTAAAAGTGTGTGAGGGAATTTTGTATTAATTAAGTACTTTGTAAAATAGTCTGTTATCCTTTGGGCAATACAAATATAAAGTATGTCAAGAAATTTAAGGTGCACTTAAATCCAAAGAATTTCAATGTGCAAGGAAAATATTGCTCCTGAACCATGCTTGCAAGGCTTATTAATCCATCATTGAGCTATGGATAGATTTCTAGATTAAAGTTGTTTACAAGTTAGACATTAGAAAACCTTCCTCTACTATCTTAATTTATAATGTGTTCAGTTGAAGCTACTGCTTCTTATGGACACAAAATATAAAACTTGTGTACATTGCTCTTCATGACATTTTGCCTAAAGAGAAGTGAGGACAATAGAGCTGCATGTCTGTACTTTTAACTGAGGAGTTCTGTGAAGGAAAGGCTTTATTTCTGCTGATTCACTCCTTACAAAAAGTAACTTTACTAAGAAGGAGCTGGAACTAACAGAATAAAAATTCACAGGTAAAAGTTTGATACAAATTCTTGAACAGAATTCTCAGAACATATGAGAACAGACTCAAGAGTAAAATGCATTTGTGTTGAAAACTGAACTTTGCACTAAGAGTGATGCTTTACTTTTAGGTGGACGTCAAGCCCAAAATCAAAGAAATGGTATAAATATACCTGTGGAGAAAAGAACAGAGAATGGGGTATGTAATACATCTTAAAGGTTTGGATCAACACCACTCAAACACTTTGTGTTTTAATTAATTCATGTTCTAATCTAATTCTGCTGCCTTTACCAAGACACTCCAGCTATAGTTAGCCATTTTTAAACATTTTAAAATTTCAATAAATATGTTTGAACTCACTAATTCATAGTTATATTATCTCAATAAAGCTCTGTCACTTATTACAAATGTGTGCATGGTTCTTAGAGTAAAATAATACTTAAAGCTTAAAAGCAAACAAATAAGTTTTTTCAAGCTGAGAATCTTAAAAAAAAATGTGCAGATTGAACAGTTTTATGTTTGTATATTGCCTGATAATTAACATTTAAAATTCACACACTCTCCCATGTAGCAACAGAGTTGTTCAGTCAGTTTGCAGCTCTTTGCAGCTTGTTTTGTGTATGGCATGTGGACCTAGGGGAAGGAATTTTTTCCCTATTCACAACAGTTAATCATGTATTGCTTTCCTTTTCTGTAGAGAGCACTGGCTGATACCCTGTGCTGCATGGATCCGTTTATCCTGCTGCCATTGTCATATTGACAATGTAGTGAGATCATGGTGCTCTAAAGTGCTGGGGGAACATAACTCTTTCATGACCTCCCCTGATCCACTCTTCTATGTGGGTTGTAGCTCAGATACTACATTTGAGATGTAATATATTTGGAAATTAGGACTGGCATGTGCAGAATGCCTTACAGTCTCACTTCTTGCCAAGGCTAAGCTTTATGATAGCATGGCTCTGTATTGAATTGAATTTGCTGTGAGTTTTATGAGTAAAGCTCAGATTTGATAACTTGAATAACACTTCTATCATCATTCCATTCAGGACACATATTTTTCTTTTTTTTTAAATACCAAAAGTTGGCCACAAAATTAAAATCTGATGGGGAACTGATCACTTTAAAGAGGACTTTTGCCAGGTTTAGGAAATAAAGTGTATTAAATACCAGGTTTATGAAAATAGAAGAAAGACTAAAACCTGAGGGCATTATAGTAATGTAAAATTGTAGTGGGTTTTATGCTAAAAACGGTGCAAATTAGGTTTTGGAAGTGTTTAAAACTAAGATTTTCAATTATGCTAAGTTTTAAATCAGAGGGGGAGGGGGAAAAAGAGGTGGCTTCAGGATCAAGGATTTAATCAGCTTACACTTACGTAATGCATTAGGCTTATTCATTGTTGCTGGCAATGCTGAATGTTAGACTGGCCCTAAAATCAACACAAGCCAATGGAACACTGAAGACAGCTCAGATTTTACCAAATACTCTGCATTCAGGTATATTTTTATTATGTGTACCTGCTTTAAGGAAATAGTTGATTTCCTGCTTAATATTGGGTAGAGCTGTAAGTGTGATATGCATAGAAAACTTGAAGATGAATGTTAGTTTAATTGATTGAAACAATAGTCTTGGAAAAAAATTTTGGGCAATCTATCCAGTTAAATTTAGATGATTCTATTAATTGGCATTTTGTCATATGCAGTAAGATTTTTTTGTTGTTGTTCTTTGCAACTATATGTGCTTGATCAGCAATTACTTAAATAATGGTTATCTTAAAATCACATTATGTAAATGCTTAAATTTCATTAGTTTATTTTCAAGTTAAAAATAGAATAGGCTAAGTCTCTTCCAGCAGTGAAATATTTTTTGTAAAAAGAATACTTACCTGTGAGTATTCATCTGGGAGCTTTGCATTCTGCATAACAAAGTCTAGAAAAAAAACTCCGTGAGGTTTTGTGAACTGACAAGTGCTCTTATTCCAGAGGTGACCTTTTGGGGTTTGCTTTTTGTTTACAACTTTCTTTCTTAGAAGTGGAATTATACTGTAGTAGGGACCTGATCTTTCTGCCAGTACACAAAGGTACAGATGAGTGAAGATCAGACTTACATAACTAAACATTTCCTTTTGCCAGGGAGATTGGACAGTGTCTCAGGAGGGATTCTCTTCTCTGAGAACAGCTGCCTCTTCCTCTGCTTCCATTCTTTAGCTTGTGTAACTGAGCCAATTGGGGCTGAACACAAGTTGTAACAAGGGGAATTCTAAATAAATAAGGGGAAAAAGTGTTTTATCATTGAGAGTAACAGATATTGGAACAGACTCTCCAGAGTCTGTGGAATTTTGATCTAGCTGAATAAAGTCCTGAGCAGTCTGAATTGCTCCAGTCAGGGCTTATTGAACCAGATGACTTCCAGAGGCTCCTTTCTACCTAAATCATCCTTTGATTCTGTGATTGGTGGCTGTGAAACAGTGGTCATCCAAATGCTGGGTCTTGTTTGCTTTCAGATGTGTTAGCATGATCCAAGCACCATTCCAAAGTAGCAGCAGTGTGTGAACACTGAGGCAGAGCAAATATAGGTGAAACCACTGGGGGTCAGTGGCAGACAGGAGAGGCTGGGGAGCCCCATCCCGGCTGAGCTGCTCTCGGCAGGAGATGTGCATCAGATGCTGCTCTCCCAGAAAGAGCACCAACTGGATAATAACAGTTGTCCCAGTGAAAAGGTAATCAGATAACCCAGAAATTTCTTGGAGATGAGAAAACAGGAAAACAGATGTAGTTCGTGGGGGGGAAAAAAGGATGTGGTACAGGAACATGGCAGAAGTCAAATGTATTAGACTGAATAAAAGTAGATTAGTGTAATGAAAACAGTCTGTATATGAAGAAATACTCATTTGCTGTAGTTTCTTATATATAAATAACAATATATTTTAAGTATAGACTATTTTATACATAAAAATTTACTTAGGAGCATAAAATCTCAGTTTGTGGTCTCTGGTGCCAATTTTTTTAACTTATTTTTGCTGTTTCTAAAATTGCTTCCCTAATTTAGAGAGAATTATATCAATAAGCCTTTTTCTTAATGGATGTTGACTGGAGACTTTGCCAAGAAATACAAAGTGGAACCTCATTTTATCTCACTACAGAATTTGTGTTAACATTACTATAAAGGAAATTTGTGTAGAGGAAGAAAACTTGACCATCTTCCCAAACCAGAGACTCACTCCTGCAAATTTGCTTAGTATTAAAGCTGTCACCAGTAGATCAAGTCGAGTGTTAAAAGTTTTGTGCTGCTTAGATAACAGAATTCATGCTCACTATTTCTGTTAAAGTGTCTCAAATCAGGCTTTTAGCAAAAATTACAGCAGGTAGTCCAGCTGTCTTAGTATCAGGATAATCTTATACTGAGGGAATTCTTAAGGATATTCCATTAACAGATTTGTTAGAACTTCTACATATGTGTATACACAAGGCAGTTTTTTGTAGAACTGATTTAATTTCAAAGAGTGTATGGTTACTGATGGAGTCTGTATTCCACTCCATCATGACAGCAGGAAAGCTACACTGCTTTTGAGTGCCTGTGGTGTGACTTGTCCCATTCTATGCTTAGAGATTAGATAGATTCACAAGTGGGCCCAAAATTCCTGAATAGAATTATAAATTGTTCATTAGTTTCAACCATTTCATCCATATGAGTGTGACCAGATAAAAAGGCATTAGCATCTAATGTACATTGTGTTATGGGGGGCCATTTACAAGTATTCTTGCTCAAGATATAACAAATCTAATTGTGAGGAAAAAGGCAAACAAGTCACATTTTTAACAGAAGTAATAAACTCAGATGAGAAATACATTATATGTATTTGCTTGAAGTTTCTCATTTGAACTATTGAAGGATAAAGAGCTTAGTCTGGATAGAAGTTGTTCTTCAAAGCTGAGCTGCAAATTCAATTTAATATAAGCTTGTAAGTATTAAGCACTCTGTTTATAACATTTAACAGTGTGCTTGGAAGGGGCTGCCATTCACATAAGGCAGGTTTTAATCAAATTTGTTTAAAATGAACAGAAAACTGTGTCACTCTTGAAATTTAGATTTAGGTGTCTCATAGCAAAGTCAAAGCAAATAATTCCATTAAAAGATGATTTTAAACAATTTAGGCACAAACAATTCTAACAGTGTGCAGAAAAGTATTTTTTTGTTTTCTGAAGAAATATTCATGTAAGCTTCCTGGAACCATTTGACCTTCTAATAACAGGGTTATTAAGTCAGATTCAAGTTTTCCCAGTTTTCTGCTGCAAATTTCTCCGTTGCTTTTGTTGAAGAGACAAAAACTTGTCTGCTACTCCTGCTGTCAGAGATGTTCCCTTTTATAAAGTATAGATTCTGAAAATTGTTTATCTGTTAGAGGGAAGCCTTGCTGCCCCTACAGCAACCTTTTGCACCATCAAATTCCTAGTTCAGTTCCTAGCTCAGAGTTAATAGAGTTTGGATTCTCCACAGACTGACAGAGTTCTTTAAGTCTGAAGCATTTTCCAGACAGCTGGCAGTATGTTGCTCTTCAAAAAAATAGAAAAACTAATCCAACTAAAGGATTTAAGGGAAAAAATTAAATTAGGAAGCAGAAAAAAAATAAAGTCTAAAGCTAATTTTAATGCATACAAATAGCTTTTAGCCAGACTAGAAATCTGAGTCTTTTCACACCTCAGTAAAGGATAGTTATGTAGGGGAACATCTCTAAGAGACTAATAATTGTGTGATCCTATACAAAGTATTTCTGTGAAGCTGTAGGAATTCAAATACTCTTGACCTCATACCTCCCTCTGAGACCTTTTTTAAACCTTTTGGGCAGAATCACATCTCTCTTGGATTTGGAATGTCATAAAAACAGTGTTTTAACTTGTCTTATGCAATCTCAAATATATTGTAGTCCATAAGGGACAAAGTTACTGTATGTTTAGATTTTGTGAGAATAATTTCTTAGGCTTCATTCCACTTACTCTGTGATTATTTTCCTATTACAATTTTAATTATGTTAGGATTAGTTTATGACTAATACTCACTTTTAACATCTGACTTAGTTTGGTTTGATGAGTCTAAGGGTTATTTGACTAGGTGGGACCAGTCAGCATTCTTGGAACCCACTTGGAACCTTGTGAAAGGACTGTTTTCCTCCATGTCTTCTCCATGTAGTTATGTAATTTTT